GTCTGCTCTTCACGAGCTTTCGTTAAGCGTCGAAGTATTATTGAGGCCAATATTTTAGATACTATATTAGTTAGACTTATTCCCCTGTGATTGTCACAAGAAGACTTCTGTCCTTTCTTATAGATTGGGACAATCAGTGATTGAGACCAGTCGGATGGGATTACGTCCAGTTCCCAGATTCTACCTAAGATCTCAGTCAACCTAGCTGCTAAAACTGGACCACCATCCTTAAATGTCTCAGGGGTCAGTCTATCAGGACCTGCAGCTCGTCCTCGCTTCAGATTTCCTAAAGCTTTTTCAACTTCATTAAGACTAGGGGGACTTACGTCGATTTGCCATTCAGGATGACTGGAGATCGTGGGTAACCGAAGAGTGGCTCGAGGCCAGTTGAACTGATCCCTAAAGTGTTCTGCCCATCGATCCAGTCTCCTGGATTGAGAATAAATAATAGTCCCGTCATTTTCTGAGATAGTCTCGCTTACACTAGGATTCCTAATACCAGTTTCCTTGATAAGTCGGAAAAGTTGTCTAGTGTTGCCTATCGCCGCTGCCTTTTCCATCGCTTTTGCTTTCGCCACCCACCACTGTTCGCGATCGTTACGTAGGCTTTTTATAAGTCTGCGCCTAAGTTGACTTCGTTCTTCATCATGTTCAGAGCCAGGTGGGATGAGTTTTCGGGCATCCATCAGATCGGTGGATGCTACTGAGATCCACGGTTTCATTCTAGCCTTATGGTCAACCTTACTAGCAGATATCACTGCTGTTTCCACAGCCTTTTTGATATCATTCCATCCTGCTTCCGGATGGGAATCGCTTAATTGGTCGCCTAACTGTCTTTCTAGTTGCTCCTGAAATATATTTTTCGCCTTATTATCATTAAGTAAAACCCTAAGAGGCTTTCTTACGGTGTCTTTCCTACGCCCAGTAAGCTTCAAACAAATACGCGCTCGCACTAGGGCATGATCTGAATCTAGACATGTGCCACAGAACGAGCGACAGTCCTCTATCGAACCCCTCCATCGGTGGCTGATGGCAATGTGATCTAGTTGAGTCCAACGTTGAGACGACTTTGGAGGTCGCCAGGTCAACAGATGCTTTTCCTTATGTCTAAAGTTAGTGTTTGCTAAGAATAGGCGGTTGTCTGAGCATATTTGCAACAGACGGTCACCATTGTCTGTTCTCTGAGCCGGGACACCATAACATCCACCTAGGTGTCTCTCCTGCTCACTTAGTCTACCTACTTGAGCATTAAAGTCACCAGCCATTATTACTATATCAGAGCGCCTAGCTTTTTGGAGGAGGTCCGAAAGCTTTCTGTAAAACTCATCCTTAACCTCGTCTGAACTGCATTCAGTGGGGGCATAGGCAGATACGACGAAGAGGCAACGGCGATTGTCCCTATCTTTCCGAGCCCTTACTGTCCCGTTTAGTCGGACAGCGCACAATCGACTATCTACAGGGATCCAGTCAAGGAGAGATAATTCTGCCCTACGACTCAATGCTATGCCTACGCCAGCAAGACCCCGGGAAGCAGCATCAGGGCTACCGGATACACGAAGAGTAAATCGAGCTGCTTCTTTATATTGACATGGTGTGGTCAAGTGTATGACGTGACTCGGATCCTGCATGCGCGTTTCCGAGACGCAGCATACATCGATGGCACGAGATTCTAAAGTCCTAGCTAAGGAAGCCTGTTGCCCTATTTGACACAATGTCCGTACATTAAATGCTCCAACATGTAGTCTAGAGCGAGGTTTAAGGAGACCAGGAACGACGTTTCGCAAACTCGCATCGTTTGCATTAGCTGTGCACTGTGATGAATGAATGTGAGAAGAGTTAGTCGTGGAGATAAGAGAGGTACTAGGAGGTGTAGGAAGGATTTGATTTTGACCAATTCGGTCTCGTGTGCTGTTATGGGTATGAGGGCGGTTGTCACTTCCCGGCTGCCCACACCGTGGAAGGTTGTTTCTTGAGGAACCTGAAAAGGAAGATAGATTAGTGTTGGTGCGTGACCGCAGAGCCCAAGGGACAACTGCTTGAGGCCAGTCACGCATGGCCTTTTTATCAAATGTTTTTTGAGGATTAGCTCCGTTCTTAAAGGCCCTTAGTGGGCACCCTTACCCAAGGAGACGGAAATCCGTGAGGTAGGGGAGGTGTGACATTTTTAGGGTCGACCTTTTCTAACCCTTCCTTCCTTGTGAGAAGGCAGCATCGCTGCAGATGCTGGTTGTCCGAGGGAAACACCTTACTGCTGTCACACCCCTCTGCAGTCAGCAGTACGACTTCGCCCTCAGACCTTGGGTAGCTGCTTTTAGTCTCATCGTTCTCCAATCGACCTGCCTGGCATGGTAGGACCTTCAGGAACATGTGTTCCAGCCAATATAGCTCGGTTGGTTCATCACGATAGGCAAGCCCGACCACCACGTAAAGGTAGCAGCTTCGGTCGGGGATATCTACTAGCAAGGTAAACCACAAGGCTAGAATGAAGCCGTGGATTTCAGTCGCATCCACCGAGCTGATGGAAGCTTGAAAACGCATCCCACATGACTCTGAACATGATGAAGAGCGTAGTCAGATTAGGCGCAGACTTATAATAGCCTACGTAACGACCGTGAACAGTGGTGGGTGGCGAAAGCAAAAGCGATGGAAAAGGCAGCGGCGATAGGCAACACTAGACAACTTTTCCACCTTATTAAAGAAACCGGTATTAGGAACCCGAATGTGAGTGAGACTATCTCGGAAAAGGGTGGTCTTATTATCCATTCTGAATCTAGGAGTCTGGGCCGATGGGCAGAACACTTTAGGGATTAGTTCAACTGGCCTCGAGCCACACTTCGGTTGCTCAGGATCCCCAGTCATCCTGAATGGCTAATCGATTTACGTCCTCTCAGTCTACATGAAGTTGAGAAAGCTATAGGAAATCTAAATGGAGGTAGAGCAGCAGGTCCTGATGGGCTTACCCCTGAGATGTTTAAGGATGGTGGTCCAGTTTCGGTGCAGACGCTGACATGATGCAGTCTTCTGACTACCGTAAGCAACAATGCGAGCATGTTCGGGATGCGGTTCTCACCCTCGAAATGCAAAATTTTGCTTCAAGACTGGGTTGCATTGGCACCTGAATTAGTGATGATGCTGTGTTAGGAATGAATAACATGAGAAATTGTTACTCTGAATTAGTGATAGGGATTGAAGTAGTCGAGCGTGCTGAACACTTCACTTATCTGGGGAGACTCATCAGTGCTGATGGCCTGGTGACTGACGAAATCTCAGCTCGGATACAGAAGGCTCGATTGGCTTTTGCCAACCTGCGTCACTTATGGCGCAGGCGTGATATACGTTCGCTGTACTGTGTACTGTGCAGCAGTAAGCTCCGTTCTGCTATATGGCCGTTAAGAGTAGATGATGTTCGTAAGTTAGTAGTATGCGATCATCGATGTCTCCGAAGCATTGCTCATGTATCGTGGGACAACCGAGTACGCAATACTGTAGTTAGGAAACGAGTACTAGGTAAGGATGGCAGATCAGTAGATGAAGTAGTGAAACTTCATCAGTTGAGGTGGTTGGAACATGTGTTACGTATGCCTAACCACCGACTGCCTCGACGAGCTATGTTTGGTGGTGTAGGAGTAGGTTGGAAGAAAGCTAGGGGCTGCCAAATCAAAACATGGCAGAAATCCATGAAGTCACTGACTAGTGGACTGAGTTATGTTGGCAGATGTAGGCTACCTGGTTGGGTTCCGCGAGACGAAAGTCACCAATGGTTAGAGACCTTGAACGACATGACTCACAATGGTTTGCATAGGCGCAGGTGCATCCACTTTCTAAGCTTCTACATTCCTCATAATCTCTACCTTTCCCCTTCTAAATTTATCTTACTGAATTATACTCCTCGAATCATATCTTTGCTCGCTAATCTTCTCCATTACTGCTTATACTTATATTATTGCTATCACACTTGGATTGGAACTGACAGTTGCGTCTGTGTGTTGATGTGGTATGGCAACCTGAACTGATGTACTTACGTGCGAAGTTCTGCGTTGTATCTGTCTGTGTGATCCTAGCACATAATGACTTTTATTAGGAGTCAGTGTAACTTCACTGATGATCACAGGGATTGATTATCTATAAGGAAGTGCAACTTAATATTATTCAGTGTCACATTTCAATGTTGTAGCAAATAAATTTTGGGTACTTACCGTTTTCACCCAAAGTAATCTAAAATAACTCCTAACGCTACTGCATATGGTCCATATCCATATCATCATTACGCCGTGTTACAGTGAAGTGATGCCACTTAATCTAAAACTCCACAGTCCATGGGGTAGGTATTATCAGGTGAAAGTGTAGACAATTAGCAAGAGACTGTGTTTATGGGCAGTCATTTCGGACAAGTTTACTACTGCTTTCAAGCTGCAGATTGTAAACAGTTTTTCGAAAATTAGCGAGAACATATGTTCTCTATTTCTTGAATATCATACTTAGAAAATGGGGGGAGCATTTGTAGAAATAAATTCCGTCCGAAGATAATTCTAACAGCAGGGTACACAGTACCTAGTTTGGTTTAAGTGTTAGTAGTTTAGTAATTTGATGATTTTATAACTTTAATACATAAATTGGATGATAGTGGCTGTTTAACTGAATTGTTCAGTTATCTATTATAACCAGCATGTACATTACCAGAAATAAGGATCAGTTTTAATGATCTAATGAGCATCTCTGTGGTGTATACTAGTCACACTGTGGATTACAAGCAGTATGCTGCGAAGTAGCGCCCAGAAGTAATTGCCAAAAAGAAAACTCTCATGCCTAGAGGTACAGCGCGATCAGTGATTTGAAAACTAGAACATATGTGAAGGGAGGTATTCAATAATCTGCTCGATTTTGCGATGAAAGTTTTATAAGGTGCACAACTTCTGCTAGCTAACTCTATTCTTCCAATCAATCACTAATTCTATCTGATCTTGACGTCTTTGTTCATTACATCATTACAAAACATCATTTAGCATGTGAGCTATTGTAATACAGATACATATTTCTATTCATTTTACTAGCGTTCCTATTTAAGGCCCTTTTTCATAATTTTTATTCCTCGTTGTTATTGAGAAAATATATCAAAATCAATTATCCATATAACTCTTCGGTAATAATTATTCCATATTTTTCGTAAATTGCTTTACCGATCTGAAAGGTTATATTTTTGTCTAAATATATTGGGGACGTTAGATCCGTAGAACTCACTTGGAAAATCTCCTAATTTTTAATTTTAATCTGGAATTTTGAATTTCTATGTTTTCTCACCAAGAACGCTTTCTTTTACCTTCAGCTTACATTTCCCACTCAGAAAATCCTTGACTGTCATTGGTTGGTGGATTGTTTTAGTACGCTATGTTGTGGCTCTCACCAAGGTTGTTCCTATCAATGTATGAGTGGGCTTTTGTTGTACGCTTAACGACCTCGTCTTTTCTAGGTGCCTGTAGAATACATTCTCTACGCTTAATCAAGACTTCCTCCTCTTCGGATTGGAATAACCTGTCGTTTCACTACATCGTTGATCTTCGTTCCTTTTACCGAGTAAAGTGAACTCGTAATACTTTCAAGCATATCAATAAGCGACAGTGTTTTTTGAAACATGGATCCTTCTAAACTTGAATTATTACTTGAGCAGCAGCTGAAACTAATGCAAATGTTGACAGATATCAAGATTTCGTCTTCCACACAGCCTAGCTCATCAGATGCAACCACAGCACCATCAGTTGACGGTATCGCAGATAGCATTGCTAAGTTTCATTATGATCCTGATGCCAATTTCACTTTTGACATGTGGTTCAGGCGCTATGAAGACGTATTTAAATTTGATTTTGCTAATCAGGATGATGCTTGGAAAGTTCGGCTGCTACTTCGAAAGTTGGGTGAAAGGGAGCTGGACAGATACTGTGATTTAATACTTCCTTTGAACCCACGTGACCGCTCATTCTCAGACACAGTGCAGACATTAAGCCGACAGTTTGGCGACAACTCATCATTGTTTAGTACTCGTTATCGATGTCTGAAGCTAATTATGAACGAAGACGATGATTTTCTAACGCATGTGGGCATCGTCAACCGTGAGTGCGAACGCTTCCAGTTGAAGTCTTTGACTGAAGACCAGTTTAAAACCCTAGTACTCATTTGCAGTCTCCAGTCCGAAAAGTTCAATGGCATAAAGACACAAATACTGTATCGATTGGATCAAGATCCTAAGCTCACACTCAGTGACATTGCCAATGAGTATCAACGCTAGATCATTACTGAAGAGGAAAGCTGTAGACAGATATTTTTTTATTCTTCTGAGTACTGCTTTTGAAGTAGATCGTTTTAACTGTCATGCAATAAAACTTCTGCTCAGTATTCCGGTATTTTATGAAACAAGTTTCATGAATTCATTCATCATTTTATTATTTCACTCTTGTAGCATTTGTACGGGTTGATTTAGATTTTTGAGAAATCTTGAGCAATGTTTTTTTAACAAAAATACCAGAACGTAAATTCGCATTTAATAAACTAAGGGCTCACCAGTTACTACTACAGATTGAGGCGGATTTGACACTTTCCGTCTTATCACTAGTGCCCATCCACGACCGCGCGATTGTGAATCAAGCCCAGGACCTTCGGTCTCGCACGTCGATGTCTAGTTTCTTGACCAGTGAGCTAGAGTCCACCGGTGTTAATGCCTAAACCCAATCAGTCAACGGTATCGCGTAACCTCATCCATTGTTTTTGGTGGGTATCTGTCTCGAACACGACAAGAATGGACATCACTTGTTACGGCTACTCACCTAAACTCCGAGGGTTTCCCTACGAAGCTAATCACTAGTGAGCACATGATAATTATCAGTATAAGGTTGTGGAGATTAATGTGCTTTGGTAAAGTCGTAAACTTATCAATGTCAAGTCAGTAGAACCTCGTACTTACGTACATCAATTCAGGTTGCCACACCACATTAGCACAGAGATGTAATAGTCAATCCAAATGCCATAGTAGTAGAGGTAGTAGAAGTATTAGCTGTAAGGAGAGAGATTAGGGATGACGAAATTATTCAAGAAGTAGAATCTAGTGAAATAAACTTAAAAGCAAAATATAAAGGTAATGAGGAATTCAGAAGGTTAGGATTTGAGAGAACACAAATAATGAATGCACCACTTCGAACGGTTTTGATCGTTGTCATTCAACGTCTCATCAATTACCCTCATCTCGCAGGCTCCAGCCAGTTCGCTTGTCACTGACTTCATGGGTTTCTGGCTTGACCAACCCTAGCTTCCTTCCAACCTATCCCTGCATGGTATAACATAGCTCGGCGAGGCAGTCCGAGGTTAGCCATACGCAACACATGTCCAAACCACCTTAACAGATGATGTTTCGGTACTTCATCCATTGATCTGCCAACTGTCAGTCAGTTGCAGCGTAGAACTTCGTACGTATGTACATAGGTTCATGTTGCCATACCACATTGGCACAGAGACGCCAGTGTCAAATCAAATCCCATAGTGATAACGTTAGTAGAGGTATTAATAGTAGTCAGGAAGACTAGGGTTCGAAGATATTATTCAAGAAATATAATTCAGTGAGATAAGGTTAGAAAGACAAAGGTAGAGGTGCTGACGAATCCAGAAGATTAGGATTTGAGAGAGCTCAAAGAGTGGATGCACTTGCACCATTGCAAACGATTGTGATCCATGTCGTTCAAGGTCTCTAACCATTGGTGACTTTCGTCTCGCGGAACCCAACCAGGTAGCCTACATCTGCCAACATAACTCAGTCCACTAGTCAGTGACTTCATGGATTTCTGCCATGTTTTGATTTGGCAGCCCCTAGCTTTCTTCCAACCTACTCCTACACCACCAAACATAGCTCGTCGAGGCAGTCGGTGGTTAGGCATACGTAACACATGTTCCAACCACCTCAACTGATGAAGTTTCACTACTTCATCTACTGATCTGCCATCCTTACCTAGTACTCGTTTCCTAACTACAGTATTGCGTACTCGGTTGTCCCACGATACATGAGCAATGCTTCGGAGACACCTATGATCGAAAGTGAGTGACCTACCATTATCTACTCCGATTGGCCATGTTTCACGGCCATAAACGAAAACGGAGCTAACTGCTGCACATTACACTCGTCCTCTAGTCGACAAACGGATATCTCGCCTACGACAGTCCTCTATCGAACCCTTCCATCGGTGTCTGGTGGCGATATGATCTAGTTGCTTCTAACGTTGAGACGACTTCGGGGGTCGCCAGGTTAAAATATGTTTTTCCTTATGCTTAATATTAGTGTTTGCTAGAAATAGTTGGTTATCTGAGCACAGTTGCAACAGGCGGTCGCCATTGTCTGTTCTTTGAGCCGCGACACCATAACATCCACCTAGGTGTCTTTCATTTTCACCTAGTCTACCTACTTGAGCACTGAAGTCACCAGCCATTATAACTATATCAGAGTGCCTAACATCTTGGAGGAGGTCCGAAAGCTTTCTGTAAAACTCATCTTTCACATCGTCTGGACTGCAGTCAGTGGGGGCGTAGGCAGACACAACGCAGAGTGTCCCTATCCTTTCGAATCCTTACTGTCCCGTTTAGTCGGACGGCGCACAAGCGACTATCTACAGGGATCCAGTCAAGGAGAGATTGTTCTGCCCTACGACTCAATGCTATACCTACACCAGCGAGACCCCTGGAAGCAGCATCAGGGCTACCGGATACACGAAGAGTAAATCGAGCTGCTTCTTTATCTTGACATGGTGAGGTCAAGTGAATGATGCTACTCGGATCCTGTATGCGCGTTTCCGAGACGCAGCACACATCGATGGCACGAGATTCTAAAGTCCTAGCTAATGATGCCTGTTGCCCTATTTGACACAAAGTCCGTACATTGAATGCTCCAACATGTAATTTGGAACGGGGTTTAAGGAGACCAGGAACGACGCTTCGCGAACTCGCATCGTTTGCATTAGCCGTGCACTGTGATAAAAGCATATGAGAAGAGTTAGTCGTGGAGATAAGAGAGGTATTAGGGGGTGTAGTAAGGATTTGATTTTGACCAATTTGGTCTCGTGTGCTGTTACGGGTATGAGGGCGGTTGTCACTTCCTGGCTGCCACACCGTGGAAGGTTGTTTCTTGAGGGACCTGAAAAGGAAGATAGATTAGTGTTGGTCTTAGAGACCTGGGAGCGTGACCGCAGAGCCCAAGGGACAACTGCTTGAGGCCGGTCACGCACAGCCTTTTTATGAGAAGTTTTTTGAGTGTTAGCTCCGCTCTTGAAAGCCCTTAGTGGGCACCCTTACCCAAGGAGACGGAAATCCGTGAGGTAGTGTGAGGTGTGACATTTTTAGGGTCGACCTTTTCTAACCCTTCCTTCCTTGTGAGAAGGCAGCATCGCTGCAGATGCTGGTTGTCCGAGGGAAACACCTTACTGCTGTCACACCCATCTACAGTCAGTCAGCAGTAAGACTTCGCCCTCAGACCTCGAGTAGCTGCTTTTAGTCTCATCGTTCTCCAATCGACCTGCCTGGCATGGTAGGACCTTCAGGAACATGTGTTCCAGCCAATATAGCTCGGTTGGTTCATCACGATAGGCAAGCCCGACCACTACGTCAAGGTGGCAGCTTCGGTCGGTCTGCCAACCGCACCCAACACCCGTTTCCTAACGACAGCATTGCTTAATAGGTTGTCCTATGATACACGAGCAATACTTCGGAGAAACCTATGATCGAAAATGAGTAACCTACGAATATCTTCTACTCCGATTGGTCATGTTTCACAGCCATAAAGTAGGACGGAGCGAACTACTGCACAGTGCACTCGTCCTCTATTCAACAAATCGATATCTCGCCTACGCCATAAGTGATGCAGCTTCGGAAAAACCAATCAAGCCTTCTGTTTCCGTGCTGAGATCTCGTCAGTCGCCAGGCCATCAGCACTGATCAGACTCCCCAGATAAGTGAAGTGTTCAACACGTTCGACTACTCCACTCCCTATCACTAGTTCAGGTGTCGACGCAAGCCGATCTTGAAGCAACATTTTGCATTTTGAGGAGAAAAACCGCATCCCGAACATGCATTGCTGCTCAGGGTAATCAGAAGACTGCAGTTTGTTGGCGTCTTCACCAAGTAGGAGACTATGTTATCGGCATATTCTAAGTCAGCAAGCGATTTTCCTGGTAGAAGGTCCGCTCCTGAAAATTCAGACAAAGATAAGGTTATATCTAGGAGCATGTCTATGGCAAAATTGAACAAAAATAGGGAAAGTGGACATCCCTGACGGACACCACTTGAAGCAGAGAACTCCGATGACAGTTCACCATAAGTTCTCACTCGACCTGTAGTGTTCGAGTAGAAAGCCTGTATTAGGTTAGTGTACTTCTTTGGTACACCTCAATGACAGACACTGCCACAGAACCTCACGATCGACAGAGTCAAATGTCTCCCTAAGGTCCAGGAACACAACTATTGTAGGATGCCTAAATGTGTGTCTGTGTTACGGAACCTGTCGTAGTGTGAAGATGTGGTCTATACAGCCACGTCCAGGTCTGAAACCATCCTGGTTTTCTCTAGTATGCTTTTCACGATTGAGAACGGATAACAAGACCACCCTTTTCCGAAACAGTCTCACTCACATTTGGGTTCTTAATGACAGTTTTCTTGATGAGTCTGAATAGTTGCCTATCGACGACTTCGGGGGTCGCCAGGTCAAAAGATGTTTTTCCTTATGCTTAATATTAGTGTTTGCTAGAAATAGTTGGTTATCTGAGCACAGTTGCAACAGACGGTCGCCATTGTCTGTTCTTTGAGCCGCGACACCATAACATCCACCTAGGTGTCTTTCATTTTCACTTAGTCTACCTACTTGATCATTGAAGTCACCAGCCATTATAACTATATCAGAGTGCCTAACATCTTGGAGGAGGTCCGAAAGCTTTCTTTTATACTCATCTAAGGAAGCCTGTTGTCCTACTTGACACATTGTCCGTACATTAAGAGCTCCAACATGTAGTCTAGAACGTGGTTTCAGGAGATCAGGAATAATGGTCTGTCAACTCGCATCGTTTGCATTCGCGGTGCAGTGAGATAAGGTAATATGAGAACAGTTAGTAGTTGGGATAAGAGAGATATTAGGGGGTTTAGCAATGGTTTGATTCTGACCGATTAGATCTCATGTGCTTTTATGGGTATGAGGGCGGATGTTACTTGCTGCATACTACGTGGAAGGCTCTGGTTGTCAGAAGGAGCATCGGCCTTGTGACTTCCTAGGGAACTCGGCTTTCGTCATTGGACATCATAATTCTTCTAAATGATGACCTTCTAACCTGCAGAGCAGGGTTTATATGGTGTGAATTATTTTTTCATCAATTTCAAACCACCATTGGGAACCTGGATGTAATTCATTGCAATCGGAAACACATTTAATGTCTTTAGGTTTTTGTAAGTCCGTTTTCAATGAAATCTGGCT